TGAGTCTCCATCCCTGGAGGTATTTAAAAGACGGGTAGATGTGGTGCTTGAGGACATGGTTTAGTGGTGGACTTGGCAGTGCTAACGGCTGGACTCAATGATCTTAAGGGTCTTTTCCAACCTTAATGATTCTATGTTTCAATGATTTACATGTATGGCTAACTTCCTTGGGCTTCCAAGCCAGGTACCAAAGTAGTAAAGACCAAGACCCAGTGGGCACACATTGCCTTCCTTAGAGAACTCCTGGGATTAGTTTATGTTAAGATGATAGAAGCTTAGTTATAGTTATCAAGTAATATCTTTGGGGACTGGATGATGATATATTCAGTTGCTGTCTTAAAAATAGGGAGAAACTATGCTTGGTCTGCAATTTTAGCTAACTGGTAAGAGATTGGGGAATGTTTGTGTAAAAGAAAATATTCCAAGCAGAGGATTATTATTCCTGGGGTTACAGATTCTTTCAGTGTTGGGGAATGAAGAGAAAAGCTTGGAAAACAAATTGGGCATAAAATTTGTATAGTAATGGCGATAAATCAAGTGCATGAAGTGAAGTCTCAAAGTTACAAAAATCAGCATTTCTGGCTATTTATTCTGGAAAATAGTGATTCTTTTATGAAATTCATCAAAGCAAAATTTGAGTTAGGCTTCTGCTTTTGCCAGCTCATCTTAATTTCCTTAGATCCATGTTTTATTTTAAATATTTTCTGTTTATATAATGGTTGGGGTTTTGATCAATGCAGAAAACAGGCAATTTAACTCCTCTCCATTGACTGAGGCTTTTCTCGAGTATTTTGGGTGGGGTATTTTCCCCCTTAATTTCTTTCAACCACTGATCCTGGCTGTTGTTGCTGTGCTGTTTAGATCACATTCCTAACCATGCAATTGGTGGTGATAGGAGAACTTAATAATTACAGATTTTGATGCATCCTTAAGGAGTGACAAAGCTTTCAGGCAAACAAAACCATAATCTACTTGGCTTAGTTTTGGAAGTTGTTTGGCTCAGGATCTTTGGCTTCTTTTGGATTCCTGTAGCACCTAGGATGGGTCAGGTCGAAGTAACAGCTGGCAAGTGCTTTATTTACCAGTATGTAAAATTAAATGATTTAAACAAAACCTAAGTATTACAGTTCCAGGCTTGCTTAGATAAAAGCAGGTAAAGAAATATTTGACATAATGTTATTTTTTTCTAAGGTAATATTTTTTGTTATTATTTCTCATGTTTGCAGTCATGGGTGTGACTGAATTCTTCTCTGTGCTGCTAAAAATTGTTTCGCAAAGCTTTGCCACGTGCATGCGAATGTATGTTTTTATCTCCGAGCAAAATCCATTTTGCTATATCCATAGCAGTGTTGTCAACCAGACAACTTATATCATATTGTCATATAAGTTTCTTATTCTTTCTTTCCTGTCTTTTTGCTTTTTGTACGTAGTCTGATATTATACACCAGAGTGTATTTGAATTGATTCACACAGAAGACAGACCTGAGTTTCAACGACAGCTACATTGGGCATTAAATCCTGCCCAGTCTGCAGATTCTGGACCAAGCGTACAAGGTGAGAATGCAGCCAACTTATGTGTTTGCCTGTCTGATTAGTTGGCATTTTTTTAATTTGTGTAGATAAAAAAGATACCTCCATTCAAATTCCAGCTCTGTATTTACCAAAAGAATAAAACTGAGTTGCTCCTGTGCCAGAAATGCTGAAGGGCATGCCTGCCAGTGCCAGGGATGCCAGCAGAAAGCCGTGCACTGCTTATGGGGTACTAGAGCTACACTGGGTTAGGCACTCCTCAGCCACAAGATTTATCTGAGTTGGAGGACTTAATCAGAGCCCTTCAAGGAGCCTCCTACTGATGATTATAGTCTTTCC